TATGTACGCGCGATCTATGATTGTAACAACATGTAGCAAATTCTGCAGAAAGCAATATTATTTCAAAATTAATAGAAAATTTTAACGAAGTTTAGAATGCGCTCACAAACTTCATTCCTATATATAATAGTTTTTATTTAAATTTATTTTGAAGAGTTTAATTTCTGCTTTTTATCGTATTACGCATTCCAATATCCAAATATTATTTCTATTACAACGTGAAAAATAAAATTCGATAATCCTACTAATTGAAAGCATAAATCACAACTGAAACAATTAAATACCGTGTAAATTTGTATTCTGTGTCAGAATAGTATTCGATAGAAATCAGCGTGAACAAAAAATTCGCATCAACTTATTTTGTATAAGGCGAAATGGACGTCTCATTCAATGATTTTTAATTGAATTTCAAGGCCGGTCGAATTTAATTTGAGAATTTCAATCATTTTTACTTACTTTCAACGTCACTCGATAAATCTGACATTTTTGTTTGGTGGCTTCGCTAATAGAAAAATGAATTCTTTTGTTTTGCATCGGAGTCCAGGAGACAATCGCCATTGTAACTATTCGTTGTTTCGCGTAGCGAAATGGATTCATCGAAATGAAATACACTCGGGAAATCATGGTAGATTTTATTTTACGGTCGTCTCGTGCGTGATGAAATCGTTACTTCTGATGATTGTATTGGAATTAAGAGTAAATATTCATGTAACCCGGTTGTATAATTAATTATGAATGCATCTTGCTTTTATTTATTCGCATTTAAAAATACTTCATTCAATCTAGAACGATTTTTGTATTTAATATATTTTATAATTTATTAAAAAAAACTAATAACCAGTAACACAATATTAAATTTTATCTCGTGGCGTTTACATTATATAATCTGATAACGTAACATTTTTTTTCTTCGCAATATGCGCATATATTCAAAAATTACAGCGACAGAGTAACGAAGCATATCTGCAAGACAAAAGTTTAATTTTTCCTTTTGATTGATTTTGTTTTCATTTGTCCCGTGACAAGGGAATTGAGGATATTTAGCATACTCGGTGGTTTTAAAGTATAATTGCGTAGGAAATGTTGATGCCGCAGCTGTGGTAAACGATCCCGTCGACATGCTGCCTGCGAGATTTGATTTCCGTCAATTATCCAACGTTTCGTATCATTATTCTTGATGTTATTAGATATTCCAAGTTTTTTCGTGGGATCCAGTCACGATCTTCGTTAATGCCACGATGGGAATGTATTGTAAAAATGTCGGGAAAAGCATCGCTTTCATGTTTCACCGAAGCGATATTAGACTTTGATTTAATGTGAATTTGCGAATAATTGAAATATATATCGTTCTTTGTTAAATTTGCGAAACTCTCTTTTATAACAAGAGGCACGTTATCCTTCACAAAGAATAAATAATAAATTACAAAGCAATTTTCAAAACGTTATTGCGAAAGTAGGTTTTATTCTAATTCCTGCAGCGTTTTAATATATCAATTTCCGAGGAATTACATTTCCTTCCTTAATTAATTTGTTACAAAGAGATAGAGTGTCAGCTGTGCCCTTGAAAAGATATATATTGCAAAGATATTGGAGGATGCATTGAAGTGAAGATGTCTGGAAAGACGATTGTTTTCACATTTCGCTGAAATAACATTTAAACATTTCCTTTTTAACATTATTCTTTTTATTACTGAAACAGATTGCCTTTCGACATAATCTAACGAGTCATTTAGGGGAAGTTTTATTCCGTTCGTGAAAAGAATGAACAACATGAAGCGAATAATGAATATTTAAAGCAAACGATTTTGAAATTATGCAAAATTAATTTATATACAAAAATTAATTTTAATTTTAAAGCTTAATTTTAATTCGTGATTATATCTATTTATATTAAGTATATTTTATCTGAAGATTTCGTGATATTTTTTTACAAATAGCGTGTCATATGATCCTATGGTAGGATCATTAGAGAGAATCACGATAAGAGAGGGCGACTTTGAGATATTACACAATATTCATTTGCTCGGAATAACATCTGTGACGAATAAAAGGTACGTAGGGAGCTTGTCTCGTTAGCTTCTGAAGATGTGGTGGATATCTTTCGATCTGGTCTACATGTAAATCGCGTAATTGGATATCGCAGATAATAAAGCGGGAAACACATCTTCTTGGAAATCATTTGCACAAATCTCGAGATTTGTTATTTTTATATCATATTTCCAAGTAGAATATAATCTTTTACTTTGAAAAATTTCATTAAAAGTATTTTCATTTGTTGCATCGATCAAACTTGAAATATCTATATTTTGTTACATATATCTTGTATAAAAAAAACGGATTTTTTTTATTATTGCTCCCAGAGAGTAATTGAATTGATCACATTGTTCACGATGTTTTGCGTATTGCAGAGAAACCCAGTAATTTCAAAGGTATGCACGTTTATTACTATATAGATATGTATCGCAGCAAGATGCAATTTCGATGTAAATATATATGTCGAGTGTTGCACAGCAATTAATTAAACAAATATTTGCAAATACTTCAATACTTGTGTAGAATTTTTACTCAAATATATTTTCGAAAATATATAGCGTACAGTAAAAATACACAATTGTACATATCAGATTCTAAGAACGTAATAAACAATGATTGTCTATTTGCTTGTCAATATTACTTATCTTATTGTTAGTTGAATCTAACAAAGGATACATTTCTGCGAGTCTTCAAATAAATGATTTAACGAAGGGCAAGATATCGCTAGCAAGAATCTTTCTAACGATAACTAACATATTTTATTTTGTACTTTCATATTTATTTTTGTACTTTCTTTATAGACAAGCGCATACGTACAATACTAACGAAAATAGTCCAGCGTGGAAACTCTGATACATTTGCTCCGCTTTATTTTTGTACCTTTGTCTGATTTTAAACGTAACGGTAGCTATCGTGCAGAACGGAATACACATGTGCGTAACGTTAACGAGCAAGCGATTTAACGATAACCAAGCCCACGGTTTTCTACATTTCGTTTTACTCTGCTATGTGGAGTAATGGTGATTAATGACAGTGATTGCATAATCGATAAGCGATACACACTTATAAAGTATATCGCAGTGTATATCGCGATTATATATTAAATATATTCAATTTTCTACACGTACAGGCACACACAATGCCGCGTTAAAATTTTAGTCTGATTCAAACAACTGTGTATCATTACTGTACGAGTATTATGGTTGACATTCGTAATCTGCAAACTTATCAAAGTTAAGCTGGTTCAGCTTGTCGGCCATTATGGGACGCCGAAATCCAGCGGATTGATATTGTACACGGGCAGGCGGGTGAAACGCGATAATTATTACAGCGTGCCAAAACCCGGTAGCTCACTCGAAGTTGAGGTATTGTTCGCACAATGACGTTACATGCATCCTGTGTACGTAAACGCAATAACGCACGTCGATGGCTTACGCCAACTGTATTTATCGTACGACTGGTCAAACCGACGTTATGCCAAACGTATTATATTACGGCGTCTAATAACGAAAGCCAATACGTTTTATATACAAGGTGTTTCATAATTCGCGGATTATCTCTCCTAGACAATTAAACTAAATCAAAAAATTTTAAAATAATTTTTGCAATAATTAATGAAATAATAATTAATAAAGATTCGCGAATAAGCGTGTTTTCGCGCGTTTCAGCGACAAGAAACAGCCCGTTACGCATTATTTGTGATTGCTAGACGTACTCTCCTCCCAATGCCTCATTCGCCTCGCGCGAAAAGCAACCGTAATTGTCGCGTGATGCTGTATCTTTTCGTCAAATCACACAGATGCATGCTAATTCACTGATTTTGATTATCTCATTAATTATTACAAAAATCGCAAAATAATACAGGCCTTTTCGATTCAGTTTAACCCGTTCTAATTATCTACGAGAGGTGATCCGCGAATTTTGAGATACTCTGTATATATATATATATGTATATTCTGTATATATATATATTATATATCCAATATTTCTCACTTTGTTATTTCAATGTATCACAATTTTGAAGATAAGAGTCGCGAGAAATTTTTGTATGTCTTCAAGTCAGTTTTGAAAAAGACATAGCGTCTTTCAGAAATAAGATTGTTGCGGCAGCTCCTGTCCCACGTTGTTGATTAGATGAGGTTCTGTCATCATCATGGTACGCTTTCGTCGTCTGAAGCTGTCGTCGAGGCAAATGCAATTTCGCCGGAGCTCCAAGAACCTTGAAGACTACCGGAGAATGGATATAAAGAATAACACGATGATCCTTAAAATTTTCGGAAAAGGAATTTGTTCTTTCCTCTCTAATTTATATATAAATCGTGATATTTAATCGAGTATTCTTATGACAGATGGATACGATCTACAACTGCAATTTGCATATTGTATATGTTCGTGTTGTAACAAACATTAATGAATACACGTAGAGACGTGTATAAATATTCTGAGAAGGAAACATTTAATAAGTAAATATTTAACATATTTACGTATATATATATACACACAAAAGAATACAATTATAGATTTGCAAAAAAAATTTGCTGATAAATTTATATAAGACGTAAAGGAAAGATATGTAGTAAAGATATAAAAATACGAACATGCATTTTACATGTTCTCGACAAAATACAAAAACAGGCAACAGGAAAATAATTTTGCATTAATTTAAATAACATGACAAGTAGTATATGTTGAGGGGATGAAAGATTGCCGGAATGGCTATATATATAAGCACTATATTTCTCAAAAAATGGTTTATTGATGAACAGAGTTTCAAGTGACAAAATTAATAGCATTGCAATTTATGAATATTTACGATATAGAATATGAATGAATTTTTCGTATATTAAATGCAAAAATAAATATTAATTACAAGAGCAATATTTTCTGCAATTTTCCACACTCACAACTTTTCTATATCAGTATTAAATATATCGCAATTTTCAATACTTTGTTCTTTCTGCTTGCAGAAACAGCAACGTGTCGGGCGAGAGATCGCCATTTGAAGGTTCTTGCTGCAGCGGGCAAGGTGCTAGCAGCGAGAGCGACGGCGAGGAAAGTATTTCAAAGTACAGGGTTGTCTTGCTGGGAGATTCCGGAGTGGGAAAGACCGCTTTGGTCTCGCAATTCATGACGAGCGAGTATATCAACACGTACGACGCTAGTCTAGGTAAGTCTGTGCACCCTCGCACGACTAACAATGCCGCGACATATCCTTTAACAAAACGTGTGGGAACTAAGATTAGTTTCCATTAAAAGGATTGATTATTCCACACCTTTAATATGGAATTCTACATTACGACACTTGTCATAATTCCATACGAAGTGTGTCACAGAAATACGAGTACGGATTGGAATAATTTTAAAGGGTTCTTCTTTTTTTCTTTTGTCTTTTGCTAGTCTTCTAATTTTTTGCTTTCTTTTCCTTGGTTGATTCTTTCCTTTTTAATTTTGTTTACTAGTTACTGAGGAAAATTGGGCAGGGAATGTAGAAGCACTCTATATATATATTTTTTTTTCTTTTTTCTAAAGAAAATTTATTCAGAAGTTCCACTTTTCGCCGATAACAATGTCACTTGATAGATCCTATTCTCTCTTGATGTTCACCGATCTGTATTGATGCTCTTTGTATGCAGAGACTTTGTTGCGCGATAATATTAGCGATCAAATGAGACTTGCCATTTAATTAAATTTCTCTGAATTAATTAATTAACTTTTAATTAAAAGTTACGCGTTTACACAAAGGCATATGGCGTAACCAACGATTCTCGCTCGTGAATTTCGTAAAGTGCAGATACGCCTATTTCTCTAAAGGAGAATTAATAATAAAACGGAATGTGCGTATGTGGGGAGAAAAATCCATTTTATTCGTTTTACATTTTTGCCGGTCACGCGGCTTTGAAACGTAGGTGCACGTCATGAAGAGGACGATTCTGTATCTCCGCGCAATTGCGGCCGGCGGCGCGGCGCACGTTGCAATGCTCCCTGCAATCGTTTCGAGCACGAGCTAGGGTTTTACAAGCGCGCTGCCCGAGTACATATATTTGTTCTTTTATGTGATCGCAGACGGTCACACACGTGCACGAACGCCACGTGCAAGAACGTACAGCATGCGATGTACCGAGAGGAAAGTTTGCGATTCGGTTTGCGAGGATATATTCTTTTCGTATCCAACCTTTTCTCACACCCCACCGTGATATACATTACTTAAGAATCCTACGTTATATACAAATCACTGTTGAGTTTTCTTCGTAAATTATTTAATTTATGTATTTATATATTTTTCTTCTTCATTTAGAGCGAATTTGTTAAAAATGAACGTTTCTTTAATTCAATTTTAACACAAAATATAATATATTATACATATAACATATAAAATATGTATATGCAAGGTATTTCAAAACATGTAAGCGTAATTTCAAGCTTGAATTGGGGGCACAAAAATAATAAATTTTGTATAAACGTTACAGTTTCGTATTTCAATAAATCTCGTTATAAGCTGAGGTAGAGTATTTCATTCAGCTGTTTATTATCAATATCTCGTATATGATCTTACTAACCTTAGTAACTGTTTGTAAATATTTCAATGTTACGTTAACTTATAGTTTGAAACGAGACGTATCGAAATACAAAACTACCTGTAGCTCGGAAATAAATTTAAATAGGACAAATGTTTAGAGAAACTGAAATTATGTCCGCATGTTTTGAAATATTCTGGTATATGTATAATAGACTTCTGCTTGTGTGTGTGTGTGTCTCTTATGTTTGAAACTTTTAACAAAAACGTCAGATTTAATGTCTACTTCTTTACAATTTATTTTAAAATACTAAATACTAAAAAAATTGTTGTAATTAAAAGAAAATAGATTAATCCTTTTAATTTATCAGAAAACATTTTTTCCAAGATGAAAAATTAGCTTTATCTTTAATTCAACGTTTACTTAGCAGAAATCGCGTGTTCAGTTGCATTCACTATTGCATTCACTATTTCGTCTAAAGTAAATTTACACAACCGCTTCTGCCAAACACAGCGTTTTCTCTCTTATGTTCATCTATCTTCTATTCTACGCTCGAAATACCTCAAATATTCTGTCATAAATGAATTCAATTCACAATGCCACTTGGGAGGGAAAAAGGGAAGAAAAAATGACAGCCAATGATGGATATACTTTCTCGAGGTAAAGAGGATGTTATAAAGGGGGAAACAGAATATACTAACATATGTATACTATATACCAAAATGGCCAAAAATTTGTCAGAATCTGACTTTTATGATTATATGACGAACATCCCAACGAAAGGACTTTAATGTAAAAAACAAATGCAAGCGTTATAATATATCGCGCGAAGTTTCAATTCGGTTTTTAGCAAAGTAAAAATCAATGAATCAGAATATTATTGTGAAACTGCAACAGCGAATTTTTTCGTAGCGTTTTTATTGCGGCGTCACAGAACACTGGTTTTTAACATTTATTTATTTTGCAACCCGTTCATATATACACATAGCTGTTCTGTTATTTTTATCATTCCGCATGTGCCATAGTTTTTAATTTATTTATTAATTAAGGTCACGTAAATAAAAAGCGCATCAGCCACTCAAAAATCATTTCTATTTATGGACGGAAATATTTATTAATTTTTTTCACATAGTTTTGACGTGTGTTTTGCGAAATCGACACCTATTATTGAAAATTATTTTATATACCTATTATAGATAGAAGTTTGTAACAAATTCTAAAATACAACTTTAATATGTCCTAATCATATTTCTTATACAAAAATTTTTAATGTAATATATTAATTTTGGGTTATATATTAGCAATAATTCTTTTGATTGATTATTTTAAAGAGGATATATTTTTTCATATATCGCGTTTGATCAACAGATGAGTTTTTAATTATTCAGGGATGTGCAAGTATTTCGAAATACTCGATACGTTAATGCTGCTTGATTGATACAAGAGCCTATTATGTTTCGGACTACGCGAATAATTCGTTGATTTAGATCTCTCAGAAGTGACGAACGCGCGCATTTGTAAATGTAAGAGTATAGTTTGATATCGTTACTAATGTCCAAACTTGTGCACGACAAATTACAGAGTTTGTACATTGTATTAGCCACTGAGTTAACTTAACATTTCTCCTTAAAATTTAGCTTGCTAGTTCAAGTTTATATTCAATTACATCATGTTCTCTGTGCATATAGATATGTGATGTACGTTCTCTTTTTCCTTTTTGAATATTTGTAGTTAGGTAATTATTTTAGAAAATTTTTATATCGAAAACGAGACTGTGTGTGTTGTAATCTTACAATGTATTGAAAAATTAGATAAGATTTGATGGATAAAAAGTAATTTTAAAAGTAATCAGATAATTTTAACTGAATAAGAAAAGTATTTGAACATCAATATTAATTACTATTATTGATTAATGAAACATATCTAATTTAGAGATATCGAATTAGCTTAACATTAACTCACGAGTATTTGCATTACAAAACAAGCATGTATTACCGTACGATGAATAATAATGTACTCTTAAATACATATTTATGCACATGCTTGAAGATTGAGAGTGAGTGTGTAATGTTTATGGATGGAGTACTTACAGTCCGTAAATACTTACGAGTTTAACAATATTCAACAACATTTAGCACAGACTTTCGCCTTTGTATTGCAGACGACGAGTTCGGCGAGAAAACCGTTTCCATTTTGTTAGATAGCGAGGAATCAGAAATGATCTTCATTGACCATCCACATGTGGAAATGAGCGTAAGTATTGAATTTCCTGGAATATTGTACAGACGATAATGATTAATGATTATGTTATACATATATGAATTTATTAAATTAAGTTATACGTAATAAAGTTACGTAATTAAGTTACGTAATAAAGTGCAGGACCTGAGATACACGCATAATGCATGAATTTAGCGAGCTTTATGCAGCTTATAAGGATCCTATATACGCCATTGTATTTCTCACAATTTTAATTTTGAATAAACATTGGTTACCGGTATATTAAACTATATCTATGGTCTTAATAATTTAATGGCTATTTTAGACATTCCTTTCGTGTAACATACAATATTTTTATCGGATCGGTAAGTTGTATAGTTCGTCTGACATGATAAATTTGTTTATAAATGCGAATGTAGAAAGACATTTGAAGATTTTTATCATGTAAATGTTTATTTTGAGCATGTTTTATTATTTGCATTTCCTCCATTTCTTTTTTTTTAATTATCAATTTTATTTGTGCACTATTTTATATATAAACTGACAATATTAAATTAAGTATGTATGTACGTGGAAAAATATAATTGCAAAGTAATTTTTGTTTTAGATTCCTTTTCTTAGTTTTAGTCTCAAACTTAAAATTTATCACATACAGATTTTTTAAATAATTTTCGTTATAATATAATTTTAATATTATTCCTTTAATTCACAATTAAATTTAGGATTAGATATGTAATATCTCTGCGTCATTATCATACTCATCTGTGTGCAAATCAAAGCTGCTATAATTATGTACATTGGTGAAAGCCATTTTGCTGTTCGCGACAGGATATTTTAATTATTCCTTGTATTATCGCGACAATGTAATTGTTACCCGATAATTACAATGTGTCTAAATATCGCTGGAAGCTATCACGAAGAATTCAGAAAAACGGAAAGGATGGAGAATAATATAAAATATGCTACAGTCCTGTACTTTATTCAAAGAAACTCATAGAAGAAATTGCAAGCAATTTGAGACAAAAGAAGTGCTCGTTAATTGCTTTCAAAGAGCAATTTAGTGTTGTTAATTTCTGATCTGTTGATGACCGATGCAATTGAATATGAAATTATTAACGAACTTTGATAATTTACATTCAAAGTATACGTGAGATAAAACTTCCCAAAAAATTATGTTTCTATTCATGAGTTATAATTTCCATGTATATACATATATTAAGTGATTAAAATGATGTTGAAGAATCGTTCCCTTTACATAGCGTTATATCAAGTTGTTAAAACTTTTTTAAAGAAATTTATTTTTAATATATTTTTATTATATTGCTACTTTTTTACATCATAATGTTATCAATAAATATACTTCTATAAAGCTGCTAACTATAAGCGCACGTCAATAACTACGTATCAATATTTAGTTTTAAACGAGATTAGCTTTATCGCGAAGTTTGCAGTCATAGAAGTGAGTAAAATCCATTTTGAAAGATCCTTCGACATCCAGTTTACGTTAAATCGACTTTCTTAATCTGAAATCTGAACCGCTCGGCACTCACGGGATTTGTTGAACTACTTGACTAGGTCTGCTCAGCGTGCGATAATGCGAATTTCGTGTACCAAGCCGTAGAAGCAGTCGACGAGAATTGTAACTTAATATCGCATTTATAAAATTTGCTAAGTCACTTGTATTCGCACAATTTGCTATTTTTGCAAAGAATACGCACGATACGAATATTGTCAATATAGCAATATTGAGAAGAACATTCGAAGATAGTTTTTAATAGCTATATAATTAAATTGTCGAAACGTTACCTACTATGCGAGCTACTATGGGAATTATAAATGACGTGCGAGAGTTTTAGATTACTTTAAAGTTCTTCCCCACAATTCACTGAACAGAATTTATCGTCGTTACTTTATGTGTGTAATCAACAATCGCAATACTATTAAATTTATGTAAATTCTTCCACACTTAAAGCACTTTAGCATCGAGTTTGTTCTCCTGCCTACGAAGTCGGTAGTTGCAACTCATCGCACTATTTCTCGATTACGGAGTTTTATTCGGTCAAAGTTTTAACTCAGTCAGACTTTAAAGCCTCATACATCTTCTCGCTTTTTCATTCTTTCCTTGTCAAGAACTGGTGAATGTATTGTCAAAGTTATAATGATATTCATTTTCTTCAATATAATCGCAAATGTGTTCCAAATTATCTTACATCATGCGAACGACTAATCTAACTGACAACTTTTATTATTCGTGACGCTAATATTCGATTATCAGTAATTCTTCTCTATAAAAAGAACGTACAAAGAAAAAGAGAACATATTCGTGTAATTTTTATTATTTGTGACGCAGCTAGTATTTGATTATCAGAAATTCTCTAAGAAAATAATGTAAAAATAAAAAGAGAACACATTATGAATATATTTTATTCGTAAGTTTATAAAAGAAAATTACGAATAAAATTCTCCTTGTATTTATAAGCATTTAATATCAATCTATATAATTTTGCGTGATTAAATGCAAATAGAAAAACTTTTGGGAAACTCTTCAGGTTGAAAACTCTTTGTCGACGTACGAGCCACATGCCTGCATCGTGGTTTATTCGATCGTTTCACGTACAAGCTTTCAAGTGGCTGAAGAGATACTAAACTACTTGTGGCAAGAACATTACACTCAGGAGCATACGGTCATCGTCGTTGGCAACAAGTCTGACCTCGCAAGAAGCCGGATAATTTCGGCAAATGGTAAAACGATAGTACGAATAACAAAATAGCAGATAATATATGTAATTTATGCTGTTTCTATTTACTCTCCTATTTTTCACAATTTTTTGTCTACATCAGAATAAAAATTAAAAGTTTAATGTCCATTAAATAACTTTTATACTTTAATAATTGCGCAAAAGCTGAAAGTTATTTGTAATTAAAAATAATGCAAGTCGTTTTTTACTGCATTAATGCTAAATTTGTCCAATTAGATTTAGATCTTGAAGAAATATTTTAAAATCGACCGAATATAATTGAACATTCGGTCAATCTTGTTAGTATTTTGCAGTGCGATTTCGACTAATTTGAAATTGCAATCGTTGTTAAAGAGGGAAAGCATTTGGCCACGTCGCGCGAGTGCAAGTTCATCGAAACGTCTAGTGGGCTTAAGCACAATGTGGATGAGCTTCTGGTCGGCGTTCTGAAGCAAATCCGCCTGAGAGAGAGCCGCGAAAAGAAGCTTCGACGCCAAGGTAGCAAGAGCAAACTGAAAGAAGAGCACAATAGCAAAACCGTCTTGATCACTGCCAGAGACATTCTTAACAAGATATGCCTGAACAACAACAAGAGCAAGAGCTGCGAAAACCTGCACAAACTGTAAAATGTGTCGCATTAATGGAAAGGAAAGGGGATGGCGGTGAAGAAATACGCGGGAGATCCCTTTTACACTCGAGAATCAATTCCCGATCGTACGGAAACATGACGGTAATCAAGATCGAGAAGCTAAGGGCGCTTCGCCGCGAGGGTTTTGCATGACATTTTCATTTTTTTTCTCATCCACGCGGATGTCACGGAGTCGCGCTAGCTCGCGGCTGAGACCTTTTTAACAGGGTCGTAACGATTTTACGATTCGCGCACTGATTACGCGTGCCGGCGTTCCGCTAAGGAGTGCGTTGTTACTACCTACGTATCTCATGTTCACCGCTTGTCATCCTGCGCGGACTTTTGTTCCCGTAGCAGCTCTGACATTACGCGATGTAGGTATCTCTATCATGCGGTAACGGAGCGTCAATCCAAACCGGTTTAAAATATTCGCAAGGTTTCGCTCTGGACGCTATTAATTAAAAAAATCTTTTTTAAGGCACACGTTTAAAACGTTTGCGAGGCTCGGAGTGTTGTTAATTATAAAATTTTTTTAAACAGGCATTAAAGCGAGATAATGAATGCAAAAGAATAAAAAAATGTTCATTATATATCTTTCTTTTTCATTTTTTACATTACACGGAGGAGATTAAATTTAATAATATCAAGCAATTTTTGTGTTACTGCATTCATCAAGGAATATCATATTTTTAATACTAAGAATTTATTTAATTACCGATATATTCAAAAAAATAATATTTATGTAATATTAAGAAAATTGTTGAATAATATTGTATTATTATTATTTTATATTTTTACTTTTATAATAAAATAATTCGATTTCTTTAGCAATAAACAAGGTAGAATATTGACTATTCGATAACATTAGAGTCAATTTCTTTTCTCGTATTTAATATATACTTTCCGTAGTAGACAAGTCTATGTTTGTGTTTACCGAGAGAGAGTTAGTAAATTACAAATTAAAGTCTAAACCTCCGTAATGCCCGATCAACGTACTCCTTGAGAACGTGCCTCTGGAAAAAGGCCACAGGTGGGTATACCTGATTAAAGGATTAAAAAGGTTCTCACGAACGGTTTAACCTTCGCCGTCATCCGATGTTTCTTCATCGTTTCCTCTTTTTACTCATTCAGCCGACAGTCCAGGAGATATAGGCAAGAACGGATTAAGCACGAAATGAGTGCCGATCATCAATATATCGTTATCGTGATTACAAATACAAGATGCAACATACATGTGTGTGTGTGTGTGTGTGTGTGTGTGTGTGTGTGTGTGTGTGTGT